TAGTTTGGAATTAAATTGTACAAGCTGATGAAATCATATAAGCAAAAGTTGATTGAATGGATATTTTTGCCTCATTTTACTGTTTTTTGTGTGGAAATTAGAGTACTAGGATCGTCGCTATAACAAGGTGTCCTAATTTTCGAAATACCAGGGTGTGCTGATATGATCATTGTGTCGTTGTTCTTTCAATATGAACTTCAAACTGCCAATCAGCAGTGTTATCATGCTATGATATCCACTGTTTTGATGCAGATTATTTATGAAGCTGGCATGGAATACTTTTGGCTACAATGTTTTTTTTTCTTGAAGTCATAGTTGCCTGGACGCTTGATATCAATCTTCATTGACTTTGACTAACCTACGGCTCCCCCTGATATTTGACACTGCCGCACTTTTTACGGGACTATTTAAAGTCAAGTCAAGTTTATATCAACAAGCCAAGTATGATAGGCGAACTTAAAGCCAATAGCTGCCAAGCTCACAAATACGATAGAGAGACGGCGACATTGTACCATTGAAAGAATTTTAAAGATATTGTAAGATCTGTGTATTATCCTTTCACTGGTTCCAACTCAACTATCGTTATTGTAAGTGAGAGTATAGCCGAAATTATTCTCGACCTTCCCAAGAGCTGGCGAATCCACTTGGACCTACACTTATATATAATTGAATTTTTGTAACCGCTGAATTTTTGTAGCCGAGCTCCACCTCCAACAGGGTTTTTATTTCATATACACTCGGAGGGGTTGACATCCTCTGCCAAGGGGTGGCCGGAATTAGGAAATTTTACTTTATTTTTTATTTAAATAATATTTTTATAACTTTTGGATTTTATTCGTACCAGGACGAGCCCTGCCTTTAGTCCGGAGGCGTAATTAGACCTTACTTCTTTGAAAACGCCTACGGGGAGACTATATTAAGAAAGTTTTTGTCTCATGATAACCGAATTTTTTGGCGTGCAATTGAAGAACATAACTTGGACGATAAGTGGTTCCAACAAGTGTGTGGGACATGTCACACAATACGAGCGAAAATGGCCTTCTTGCAAGAGAAATTTGGGCGCGTTATCTCTTGTCTTGGTGATATTAATGTGCCAATGGATGAGATCGTGTATTTAATACCGTTGAACTTTTTTTTGTGCGGCTACGTGAAAGACCGTTGTTTATGTGAATAATTCTTTGACATTTGAGCACTTGAAAACCAACATTCGTCAAGTTATGGCTGAGATACCGCCCAATACGTGTCAAAAAGTATTCGAAAATTAACTCAAAAGGATCGAAGTTCGCAAAAATTCGCGAGACGGTAAAATATAATGCAAGGCTCACATTTTATAATAGAAATAATGACAAATAACCGCAAAAATGATAACCCTAAATATTTATTAAAAAAACAGTTGTTTACAATGAAATGAAGTGTTTTCTGTTATTAATATTTTCTACAACGATATTTACAGCAAACTACACTAATTTCCACTAATTTTATAAATATATAATAATAAAAATAAATATGTAAAAAAATAATCATAAAAATATTAATGATAATAATAATCATAATAATAATGATATTTAAACGTATTAATCAGTTTGTAAACATAGCCATGTCTTTATGACATGTATGTACAGCCTTGACCAAAAGTATTAGGCACCCCACTAATTACTGAATATTTTGTTTTAACAAAAGAAGTAATGAAGTTTTATTAGTAAAACAGTGAAAATAGTTAGTGATAATAACATTAATATTTAGTAGGTGGACCCTTCGATTTATTAACGGCAGCAATTCTCTTAGGCATGCTGCGTACAAGCTTTGCACATTTATTTGTCTGCACTTATGGCGTACCACTCGTTAATTAAGCCATTCTTTAAGGCACTTTTTGATGTTATACTGTGTTCCTTAATCTTGCGTTTTAAAATAACCTACTAGCCTAAATGGTCTGGAGACTGTGCAGGCCAATATAATAAAACAATGTTTTTTATCTCCAAACCAACGCATCGTAGTCGCTGCTTTGTAACAAGGAGCATTGTCTTGCTGAAATAGAATCCCGTCTAAATTAGTATCGCCGAAAATGCGCGTTAACTAAGGCAGAAGAACAGCTTCTAATACATTTATTTACTTTTGACTGCCCGCGCATACGAACATTTCGCCGACACCATCAGCAGCCATGCAGCTCCAGATTATAATGCTGCCTCCTCCATGCTTAACAGCGGGTACCACGCAATCTGGGTGATATTCTTCCCCAACCCATCGCCCTACGAACGTCAAACCAGGTGTTCCAAATATCTGTCGAAAGAAAAAATAATGTTTTCATAAGATTTGCATTATGTCTTCAAAATTGCTCTGGGGTAAGAAGCTATGACTGTTAATACTTTAAGACGATCTTAACTAAGCTTACCTCGAAGTTCGATTCATTAGACCACAGAACATTTGACCAATCTTCTTCCGTGAAATGTTTGTATCGGCGAGCCCATTACAAACGATTTTTCCTATTTTCTGAGAGCCACGGCTTATTTCGGGCTTTACATCCTTTTAAACCTGCATCCAGAAGTTTTCTTCTAGCTGTTTGAGCACTAACTGGTTTACTAAAGACTTTTTGCGATCCTTGAGAGGCTCGCGTATAAGTATAGTAATTTACATTTTCACTTTCAAATTTTAAATGCGAAAATATTTTATAAATTTTTTAAAAATGACAATTATTAGGTTTAGCTCATCCAGATTGCTATGACTTTTAATATTACACAATTTATTCGTTTAATCAACAGTTGAACACCCATGCAAAATATTCACAAAAAGAAGTGGTAACTTTGATAGCCGCATTTGAGAATACTTGTTTATTAGTGGGGTGCCTAATACTTTTGGCCAAGACTGTACATATATTTATATGGCCGAGTGTATGGAAAAACATGTGTTTTGAAAATGGACATATACGAGTACATATGTATGTTATTGAGTAAACAGGTATAAATAATTTGTTTTCATTTGAAAGCAAATAGGCATAAGTCAATATACTCGTGCATTATACATACATACATAAACTCGCATGCCGTCTGCTGTTGTCGTTTCGTAGCCGGCTCTACACTGACAGCAAAAAATAAATACAAAAATAATAATAAAAATAAATAATTTATTTGCATTCTCATTATAATGTAAAATATAGGGAATGCGGCTTGGGGGGGTTGGTGCCAAATGAGAATTTCAATTTTAAATCAATTAGCGGACTACGGCTCGGACATATACAACCAGTTTGGTATCGGTTCAAAGACGTTCAGATTTACTATAGTGGACTGCATACCTAGCTACACAGGCATTATGCGTACATACATAAATATTATTTTGTTTTCATTTACTTGTATGACGTCTACACACTTGTTGCCATTCTCAATTATAGGGGCTCGTCCGAGTAGTTCCATTAGGCTTGAGCATTTTTTTTTGTGTATTAATATATGTACATACTCGTATGTATACTTATAGAAGGGTTGCTTATCAATATTTACGCAAAACATGCAAATGATTTTAATGTGCTGCTACATACATTCGAGTATTTACTTAAGGTACATAAACCGTGATGTGAAATGCAAAATGAAGCACAATAATTTTTTTTATATATATATATTTTTTCTTTATCATAGCGGAAACACATTTTTATTTTAAGAGCTGAGACTTTCCGACGGCACATCATGGCGTATTTCTCACTCGGACTTACACCTTCATCCATATAAAGTCCAGTTAAAAACAATAACTGAAGCCATCTGACCATTCACAACGGTATATTGCGAGAGAAATTTTCCGGCCGACCGTTAACTCTTGAACACTTTAAAACCAAGTTATCATGTAAGTGGCTGAGATACCACTCAATATGTGCCAAAAAACGCTCGAAAATTCCTTCAAACGGATCGGGGTTTATTTTTTTGAAACCACAAAACTGTTGTGGAAAAAGTATAGTTTTTGCTGAATGGAGAACGACTGGATCGATTTGGCAAATTTTTTACAATTATTCGCATCTAGTAGGTTAAGGTTATTACTAAAGATTACTTAACTTTATTCCGGGATAAGAACCACGAACCGTTTTATACGAATAAAACTAATTTATGTTTCGATTCACTTGAAATTTCATAGATTTCTTGGAAAGGGTTCCAGAAACGGTTTTATTTATGTCTCAATTTACTTGAAATTATTATCTTTTCTAGCAGTGGACTTGATAACTCCGATCAATCCGGAGAAATCATATTTTTGGTTCGGTTTCTTTTTGTTTTATTTTCTTGAAACGACTTAGTTAATTTTAAGCGAGGGTTGTTTACTTGACTTCTTATGAGAAAACGAAAAGAAGTTTGAAGCACAACCATGTTCCATCGGGCAAGGGAGGCAGGGATCACAGGAAAGGCCTCGTTGGGTAACATCAAGAGGACCTAAAATATGACTACGTGCTTTATGACCAATCCTTTAGTAGTTTGCTTCAATTGCTCCGAAATATAGCCGCTTTAGGCGAGTGGTTATCAGTGCGTAGTACCATGTGGCGATTCATTGGTTCGAATCACATATTATAGATAACTATTTTTTTCTGGCGGCCGCGATAGATGAGTCGTTAGTATTACGTACTGCTATGCGTAAGGCTCAGGTTCAAGTCCTAGTGCCGTACTAACATACAAAAAGTTATAGAAAATTAATTTCAATAAAAGGTTAAGCTAAATTTTCTAATTGCGGTGACTCCTCGGCAGGGAAAGTCAAGTCCTCTGAGTGTATGTCTGACATGAAATATAGGCTCCTCATAAAAAAAAACATCAGCCGTTCGAAGGCGGCTTGGTAAAAACTGTAGGTGGTCCCTTCATTTGTTGGAAAAAACATCAAGACTCAAGTACACAAATTGGAGGAGTAGCTCCGCCGAAAATCGCTTAAGTGATAATAAATCGTCAATTATAAATATGTATATTACGCAAATATTTTTCGACGTAGATAAAAAAACATGTGTATTACCATGTATAGTAATGAGTTATTTTATACTTTTGTAGTTGCACCGACGCTAAACGAAATCTACTTGTTACATTACGGGACAGCTAATTTGTAAGTCACTAAGCAACCTTTGGCATTATGACGGAAGGCAAGCGCCTTTTGAATGGACCTAAGAGTCGCATAATAAGCTCTCAAAACCCATCGACGGCTAGTAAAAGCCTCGTGGGTGTAATCGATGAGGGTACCAGCAGCGTGCAGTTCTCATTATATTCTGTGCCTTTCTTTAAAGAAGTAGCAAATTATCAAATTGATTTGAAACTGATAACACCACAGGACGGTTGGTATGAACAGAACCCCTTGGAACTGATGGATGCAGTTTATGAGTGCTGTGAGAAAGCATGTGCGCAGTTGCCCGCACTCGGTTATAGTGTTGCTGATATTAGCTGTATCGGCGTAACGAATCAACGAGAGACGACAGTTGTCTGGGATTCACGTACTGGCCAGCCGCTGTATAATGCGCTTGTTTGGAAGGATATACGAAGTGAAACGTGCGTCGATCGTGTGCTCTCTAAATTAGACAATCAAGACAAAAACCATTTCAAACATATTTCGGGCTTACCAGTATCACCTTATTTTACGGCATTGAAATTGCGCTGGCTCTTCGATAATGTCGCCGAGGTGAGAAAAGTTCATCGCGAGGGATATTGTAAGGCTGGCACCATAGACACATGGATTGTGTGGAATCTTACCAAGGGTAGGTACCTAACCTATGTGCATAGGGTGATTTGATAAATTGTTCTTTATACGTTATCGTTGAATTCATTTCGCAGGTGCATTACACATCACAGATGTTACAAATGCCTCACGCACACTGCTGTTGGATATCGAAACTTTGCACTGGCACCCACAGTTGTTGCGCACATTCAAAATAGACAAAAATATCTTACCCGAAATTCGTAGTAGTTCCGAAATATATGGACCCATCACCAGTGATCGTTGTGTGCTGACAGGCGTGCCGATTAGTGGTATACTTGGCAATCAACACGCTTCATTACTGGGTCAAATGTGTGTCAAGCCCGGCCAGGCGAAAAATACTTATCGTTCCGGTTGCTTTTTGCTCTGCAACATTGGTGAGCGTCCAGTAATTTCAGCGCATGGTCTGATTACCACGGTTGCTTATAAGTTGGGACCCAACAAGCCGGCTATTTATGCATTGGAGGGCTCAGTAGCTGTTGGTGGTCACGCCTTACGTTGGTTAGAGAATCGTGTACGAGTGTTAAAGGACTTCACACAAGCGGAACATTGCGCCGAAGAGGTAACCACAACGGGTGATGTATATTTTGTGCCTGCCTTTACGGGTCTCTATGCACCGTATTGGCGTAAGGATGCGCGTGGTTTGATCATTGGTCTAACGCAATACTCCACTAAGCATCATATAGTGCGTGCTGCGTTGGAGGCGATTTGTTTCCAAACCCGTGATATACTCGAGTGTATGCATCAGGAGAGTGGCTTTCATCTTAATAAATTGCATGCAGATGGCTCGATAAGTATGAATAATTTACTAATGCAGCTGCAAGCCGATACGGCGGGTTTGACCGTCTTCCGTTCTCAACTAACCGACACCACGACGTTTGGCGCAGCATTGTGTGCCGCACAGGCGGAGGGCATTGACTTATTCAACTTCAATCCTGAAGAATTGGCTTATGATATTATGGACTATGACACTTTCCTACCGACCAGCACGGACGTTGAACGTCACCATCGTTATGGCAAGTGGAAGCGTGCAGTGGAACGCAGCATGGGCTGGGTGGTTAGGAAGCCTTCACGTCAAATAACCGATGAAACATATAAACTGCTGTCATCGATACCCGCAGCCTTGTTTGTTATGAGCACATTCGCCATGATCATACATTCGGCAGCGAGGAAATGATTGGTAAAATAAATAAATACGAATATACATGCATATGTACATACATACAATGTGCATAAGAAAGTATAACATTTTACACAAATTGTGAATTTCTATTATTGATGAAGCTAAAGTTTTACTTAATTTATGTACGTAAATAATTGCTAAATGCAGATTTTTAAAACGTTTATTGTTGAATATTTTTTAAGAGTTTTCTTTACACATTACATACATATTTTACTAACGCTTTAGTATAACCGAGTACTCTGTGTACTTAATTAGCGAGTTTGCCATTTTTGAATTACATATATTCAATATAAATGCTTTAGTTTGTTATCCTTAAGTACTTGTTAAGTTTTGGTTGTGATAAATTGCTTAAATGACAAAACATATGAATTGTTAATAATAAAAAAAAAAACTGCCCCATTTCCCGATAGTGCTATAATCTTATATAACAACATAATTATACATTTTTATACACGATTGTACATAACGTATTATTTATTAAGTTATGAAAAAAAAAATTTATATATTTTAAGCTAAAGCAGAAATGAATTTAATAAACTATTATAAACCATGGGATAAGTTTGCGTGTTTTGTTGTCTAAGGGCGAAGGTCGTCTCAGAGATGACGCTAACTTGCATATTTCGTGTAGTAGTGCTTACGAGGTCTTCATTACTACGCGCATGTACTATTTCGTAGATTAGACTGACCGCCGAAAATTGATTAAAAATTGACTAATTGTTCACATATGAAGCACTATCGCTGTATTTTATTGTTTTACGTTCTAAGGCCATGCGCTTTGTTGAAATTTTAATGGTTCAGAATTTTGTTTTTCGTTGGTGTAGCGAAATGTGTGCTGAAAAAATTGTTGACAGAATCAGAATTGAAATCAACAAAATTCTGCTAAAGGGATTACACATTCCGATTTAAGGAGTTTCATAGGTTTTGGAACTTTAAAAAATAATAATTTTTTGTATAAAAGTACAATGTGTCAGGAATATTTTCCCCAAGTTTCAAATCGATCGAGACGAAACTGTAGAAATTAGAGAGTTTTATAACACGCTATTTTTGTCATGTCAAAATTTCTCAGCGACTATTGAAGCGATCGAATTCAAACTTTCCACACTTCTTTTAAGCATGTTTTTGTAATCCCTGAACGAAGGATTTATTTTATTCTTGATTTCAACTCATTTTACAAGCCAATATGTGGCCTAATTTTATGTAAAAAATGTCGTTTTTTGTAAAAAACGCTACAAAAATTCCGTTTTTAAATTTTTTTTTTGATTCGTCTTTGTTCAAGGCCTTTTCACCTACTTTAAGAAAAAATTTGGATTTTGGTTTTCACCTCTTATATATATATACTAATTATGGGTCACTGAACACGATACGGCCTTAATGAGCCTAATCGCCTTCCTACAACCCTCTTACTCTCGTACATAAAAATGCTCTTTCGTATTTTTAATTCTTTTTTAACGGAGTCACCTGAAGTGTTCTTCCGTAGTAATATATCCATATTTTCTTTTTTTGAGTAATGGATGAACTTCAATCGAATATCCGATTTGGGAGCTGTTCTCAGGGTTGTTTGATGTTTTATATGAATGGACTAACCCCATAGGGCTGACGAAAAAGTTTTTTCTTCAAATGTAAGATTCTTTTTCAGGGGATTGCATATATGATAGTGTTATTGGTAAACAGTTGGAGCATAAAATAAAAATAGAATCGAAATCAGTGGCTGAGGCAAATGAAAGAAAACAGCATTGTTGATTTCCATCATACTCACTTCGATTTTCTAAATTCTTCTTATCGTGAAAAAAGTCCAAAGTTTATGATAACCAAATATTTATAGAAGGTTGTATGTATGTATATAGTGCTAATATTTATAGTTGTATATAAAGTTGAATATAGGGTTTAGAATCATTTAATAGCCATACATACGTTCGTACAAACAAGCTCATGTTATCTAAAAATAATATTATTACAATAAAAATAATTTTTTTACGAACTACTCATTGAATTGCCATTCCGATAATAATTTTCAACCGCATGAGATATCGAACTTATATTCTTTCTTCCTTCTTTATTGGCGTAGACACCGCTTACGCGATTGTAGCCAAATTCACAACAGCACGCCTTTCGCCATTTGAAGATGCCAAGTTCGTTCACCACCTTCTCTGCCTGCTCTTTCCGACGGAGCGGGATCTACCTTTTCCATAAATTTTGCTTTTTTTTCTCGACTTTATTTCGTATAGTTCGGTCCCTAGTCCATTCTCAGGAAAGAAAAGCCAATGCAATAAATCATTCCCTAGTCTATTGTTTTCAAATAAGTGGATTTCGAGTGGTGCTCAAATCCATTCCCAACCCCTGTAGATATGTACATAGAACTGTTGATTCTTTTGAGATTCTGCTTGATTTGAGTAAAGTGTAGAACGTTAACACTTTTTGCAAGTGATATGTACAGTGAAGCTCGTAGACGTCTTAAACATGGCCTTACTTATGTTTGTCTCCCCATATTTCCCACATGTGTACGCCAACTAAACCCCATTCTGCTCGTCACTGGGTGGTGAGCGATCATACAATTGTCCTGCGGTCCTTTTGTGACCCCGTCAGAAAAAAGTGAGTATGCTTTCCTTCGCTGCCTTTGGGCATGATTTTGGTAACGTGATGTGGTGTCGATCTTTCACCTTTCTTATCTTGGGTTATCTTGGGGCTGCACCTCTGAACACTCTTCCTCTTCAGTAAATAAATAATCATGTACCTAAGCCAGATATTCAGATCAGCTTTCTTCACCTCACCGACCTTTTTGAGAATAAAATAGGCTAAAGATGTGTAGATCCAATAGTTTGTTTTCGGAGTAAGGCATCAGCAGACAACTACCGATTCTATCTTCTTACTCTTCCTAATGTTTACCGTCCAGGGCGGTTTCCTATCGAGGATTGTCCCCAAGTGTTTCACCTTCACTGTAAAATGAAAGCGAACCTCCTCTAAAGGAAATGAAACCGTTACATGGAAGCTAAATCTCTTCGTGAATAAGAAATATATGTCTTACTACGATTTACGGCAAAACCGGTTCTGGCCTCTGATTACCCTATTGCTAGGGAGAGGATAGCAGAGCATGCATTTTGTCTGTCAAGCTTTCAGTTACAGCCTTCAATTAGTAATCGATAAAGAAGCACGAACCTTCTTCGAGCTAACGATTCTATAAGCTGCTGCCTTGGGTTAAAACAAATTGAAAAAATAACAATAACAATTTTGCAGAGCTCAGAGAACCTGAAACCATCGATTAACCTTTATCGATGGCTTTTATGAGACTATCGATAGCCCGGCCCACAATCGTTATAGCGTTATTTTAAAGACAAAATCATGGTCCACTGCGCCAAGTGTAATAGAAACTTGTGAAGTGGGGGTATTACATGATTTTAATGGAGTTATGTACGCCATTGGGGGAGTGAGGGAAGCTTACTGATTATTTATTATATTTGCTTCGTTTTACAAAAAAAAGTGTTGCCAAATGTAGATACGAATCTGTAGGTTGTAAGTGGGAAAAGGTATGTAGTATTCTCATCCACTTCAGCTGTGATTGCAGCTTTGCGCCGTCGATCATTCCCCAGAAGCGTCCTCGGAACCTACGTGCCTACTGTTAATCACAACGCAATCGTTTGTGTTGCGCGATTTTCGATACACGGAAAACCAAGTAGCTCAATGCATTTACTGAGCCTGAATTTGTTGCTACAGTGTACCATATTTCGTGCTCCGGCGATGTCAATTTGCCTAAGGGAATTTGGGTATGTTTCGTCATGGAAACTGAATTTTTCGATTGTTTTACAGAAGAAGCTTACGCTTCTTTATATGATCGCTATAGCACATATCTCAAAGACCCACCCTTCATCTGCCTTGTCCCGCCTCTCAACCGTTGTCAGTCTTACTTTTTGAAAGGGCAATAAACAGTTTGTAGAAGATGCTGCAGCAGTTGCAAAGATAATGAAGAAGAGAAAATGATCACTCATGCCTTATGCGACTGTCCACCTTTGAGTAGGGCTGGGTTTCGGAATTTTCGGACTGCTGGTTGGTCTATCGAGACATGGATGTAATGAGGTTCATTAGAGAAGCCAGATGGTCTAGTTTTTGTGGCATCGCAATGGGTATTAGTTTAATCGATATAATAGATCGGCAGCTACCACAACCTAACCTGATCTAATCATGATCCTTATAAGGTTGCAGCGATTGTCATCAAAAGCGGGTCTCTCATGCGAGTCTTATTTTGGTGTTATTTCAAAGTGTAATGTAGTGGGTCTCAAAGATGTTTCTCATGGTTGGATGGACCTCATGGTTAATTCCAAAATCTATGGGTAGAAATAAAACACAAATATATCTACATTTGCGCACATTTTGTATAAAAATATTATATATCAGCATTTATTCGATTGATTATTTTATAATAAATATTTTGGTTACTTAAAAAATTTAAATATAGTATTTAATTTAAAACAAACAAGAAATTCTTTATGTATGTATGTATGTAGTTGCCATAAAATTATTCAAAAACTAAGTACTCATAAGTCATTTGTATGTAAATATGTATGTATCGATGTATACATTGTAATTGCGTACCGAATTAACGGTTAAATTGAATCTGTGTTTTCCTTTTTCTTTTTGTTGTTATTGGAGACAATAATGTACGTGTGTGTGTGTGTGTGTGTGTGTAAGTATATATATTCGCACATCAGTAATTTTTAAATTCTTTTCTTGAGCGTCTTCTGTCTTTTACTGAATTTCTAAGAGTTTTTGTTACCAATAATGTCATCGTTTTCTAGATAAATGTCTTTTTAAGCTTTATACCGTATTTAAATAAAAAAAATCTCTATACAAAAAATATATATATTTATGTATGTATATATACGTGTATGTATATATATGTATGTTATTGTTTCACTTAATTAATTTCTTCACTAAAACGATGGCTTGCTGCTGCCCATGCCCCGTGCAGGCAGACTATTTGTTTTCGCTGTGGGATTATCACGGGCCTGTGAATGCGCCACCACAATGCTTAGGCATTGCACCCATTCCTCAGCGTTTTTGCCATCCTTGGGCTTGAGTATTAATGTCTGATCGGCGGTGAAGATCTCGAATGCCTTAGGTATGTTGCGTGCACCGCGCGACACCTTGACGGAGCGTATTTGATTCACGTCAATACTTTCGCCACCGCTCTGTGTAGATGTTGATGGAAAAAGGAAGAAGAGAACAAAAAAAAAAAAGAAAAACAAAAAAAATGTGTAAGACTGTTCCGGATTTACAGCGCATTTACAGCAATTTGAGCTCACCGATCCTTTGCATGATAAGTGTGCGCCAGAGAGCGTAAAATATCTTGTGCGCCAACGTCGAAACAGACGCCATTTGCCTTTCTTCTCCTTCAGCTGACCCTCGATCATTGGCTGATTGCTACCATTGAGAAAACCAACTGCTTTATCCGGATGATTACACAGCAGGCAGCCCCATTGGTACTCCAATTCATTACAATTCGGATTGCTGGTGTCCGTCTTGGATACCTCAAATACATCCAGGAAGCCTGAATGTCGCAATTCGTTGACGAGAATTTCACGGTCCTACAGAGGATTGGAGAAAACGATGTTAATATAATTCTTAAATATACTTATGTATATACATATATATATATACAAAAATATACTACAAGTTAAGTTTAATTAACTACAAACCTTTGAATTAGGAAATTGGCTTGTAACCAATTCAGTGAAACTGCGATTCTCGCACTTGAGTATTTGCCAAATGTTCTTCAAATTACTTATGCCGGGCTCACGTGTGCTCAAGACGGTTTTTTCTTTCACCTGTTTGGGTGTAGAGCAAAAATAAAATTTATATTTAAAATCAGTTCATATAAATTGAATACAGTTCGAAATATTGTTGACCTTGGATAACTCTGTATTTAAATCTCAAAGGTCTTAATGTACAAGCCGGCACCTTTGCCTTTTCTTGCTCCAATGATATCTGTTCCAAGATCAAAACTGTTGATCTTACCGTTGTCATTGTCACACTGCACAATTACTCAAACGTTTTTATAAGCGGTGACGAAACGTAGGCCCGCAGATCTCTTTTCGAAACTAAGCTTCAACCATTACGGTGGAGACATTTTGACTCTCCATCACCAAGTCAAACGCTCAATAAGGAGTATTATCTACAAATTCGACATTGTTTGTGTGATGACTTTTGTAAAGGTTTTACCGATAAGTGGTGTTATTTTGAATATCCGGTAGATGTCTCTTTTGAAGTTGTAATTTTTTGATATGAAAATGCAACGATAGCCGCTTCGACAGCGCATTGAAACTATTCAAATTCGCTATAAAAAAATTAAAAACCTGACAGAGACGGTTCGTAGAACTAAAAAATTCGATCGTATTGAAAAACCTAGTCGGACATCAGTAGAGAAATAGGTGAAAAAATTGAGCTAGTGTCTCTCAAGAACAACCGAGAATATAGCTGCTGTAGCCCAAAGTGTTGAAGAAAACCCAAACTTGTCCATTCCTTGTCGTTATTTGGAATTGGGCATTTCACAATATTTTACATAAGGACTTGAGTCTTAAGACTTATAAAGTTCAGTTAACACAAGAACTCAACCCAGCAGATCATCCATATTGTCGTGTCTTCGCTGAATGGCTCCTTGAAGTGCATGAAAATGATTCGAAATTTCTTTAAAAATCATCTGCTGCAGACTGTTAAGGCCCAATTCCACCTCGATGGCTATGTCAATAACTAAAACTATTGCATCTTGGCCTCGGAAAGTCCAAAATTTATTGTTTGAAAAGCTTCTCCGTCCTTATGGTGTAACTGTTTGGTGTGATTTATGGCTAAGGGGAGTGATTGGACCTTACTTTTGCGATAAGTGGGCTGGAGCAACAGTTACTGTGATCAAATTGGATGGTATTGATGTTTTATTTTCACTAAACGGCTCCATGTGCCACACAACCAATGAAACCATCGATCCTTTAAGGGTCGCGCTATCTCTCGAAGAGGTGATCACAATTAACTTTTTGCGACTTTTTCTAATAAGCCAACTTTGATTCAAGACCTCAAAGATGATGTTCGTGACGCTGTAGAGGGAATATGGAAGAAACTTAGCTATTTGGTGATAGAATATTTCCATAAAGACGATACAGTCCTATAAATGGCATCCATTTGGTTAATATTGTTTCTCTTTATTGATGGCATATGGAGCGCGCATAAGTACATGATGCCGTGAAAGCAAGACAGGGCGAAAAAATGACAATGTCGACAATCCAGGAACCACAATTCGGCGATTTGGTAATTCCAAGAATCTCTCTACAGCGTATACTCTCTAAAGATCTATATCTCTATGCTGAAAAAAAATCAATTATCACAACACCTGAAGTCTATTGACCATGCACAGCGAAGAGGGTTTATTGATTGGATTATTCAAATGGATGCTGATTTTTCGAGCAAAATCATCGTAAGCGATGAAGCACATTTTCACCTTTACGGATTTGATAATCGCTAAAATTTGCCGTTTCTTTGATGGTGAGAATTCACGGGTTATTGGCGCAAAACATACATAATGGATCATATTTTATTGAAAAGGAGGCTGGTTAAACATACAGCCCGTGAAACACTTATATTACTACATTACTGCAAAAGACATTTCCAAGTCGTGCACTCTCTCGCTTAGGTGATCCGAATTGGCCCGCTAGATCATATGATTCAACACCATTAGACTACCATTTATGGGTTTATTTGAAATCACAAGGTTAATTGTAACAAACCGACAATCACGCATGGTTTAAAGAAGCACATTCAACGTTGTGTCAATGGAACTCAGTCAGATTTATGCAGAATATTCATCGAAAATTTCGACAAACGAGTGCGTATATGTATGGAAATCTGTGCATGTCATTTGACCGATTTGTTATTCCATAAAATAAAACCATATCCTGTGTACTTTATGTTTCAGTAAAAAAAAAAAAGATTAAATCAAACGTCTAAAAACAGTGTATTCCATTTAATTCAAGTCTTGTGTTTATATGGTACTTACATAATGTCGCACTTGGAAGTCCAAAAACATTAAATGTATCCAAGTTTTTGGATTACGCGTCCGCATCGTAAAGCAGGTCTTCGAGTACATACAGTGTGGACCACGGATTTGGCAGGCAAAATGAAGCTTAGCCACCTTTTTAGTGCGACGCTCTGCAAATTCATTCGAAACTTTTTCACGTAAATACCAGAAACGTGGGGGAAAAGTGAAAGTAAACAGCGATAGTATTGTAGTTGTACAGTTGACGATAGACGGAAGTCGAGAGACGAGTAGACCAATATAAAAGGTAGACATAACAGCGATGGAAAATATGAAAGGCGAAGGAGACAGAAATGAAAAGATAAAAATACAAAAATTAAAAATAAAAAAAATTTAAAACAATAAATAAAATAAAGAAGAAAATAAAGAATAAAATCAATTAAGAAATTAATAAAATTAGGTACGAGTAAAGTAAAACATGGGTGTGTGAAGAAGTATGAAAAGAAAAGATGATCAAAATAAAATTAATCATAAGCATGCTTCGTTAATTTAAAAAAAAAAATTATGATGTTTGTTGTTATTTTTTATGCGTTATCAAAATAAAGAGCTATATAATATAATACACCGCGCGCTCTTTATCCCAATAAAACACTTATTTAAATATTCTTTTATGTAAAAACAGAACAAAAACTCACCTTCAATACTACAACGTGTTGGTGGTGGAAGTGATTGTGACACCTCATCCATATAAGATTTGATCGAACCAAAATGTTTCTCACAAAACTGCTGCACCGGATCGCGCATGATCTGATAGGGTTCGAATGTACTCATTCGCTGATCTAAAATGCAACTATTATTCGCGTTGAGTAGTGTGCGACTGGTATTGTTGTTGTTGCGACGTGGCGTCATATTTGTGGTTGGACCGGAGACGATCACTTCGTGGGTGCTCTGTTACAAATAGTTTGCCATTATTATTATATCTATCATACCGGTTGCGTATGAGTAACTTTTTAAGAGTGATATGGTAGTATGTATGTGTATGTGGATGTGTATGTGGATGTGTATGTGTAAGATGTCACTCATACGCAATGGTGTACTTACGTTTCCATTCACCGGTAATTTCATCACAGATTTCTGGTTACCATTATTCTGTTGGGGCAGTGCTGGTGATGCATGATGAACTGAAACCGGATTTTGCGGTATGGAAATTGAGCCTGCAGAACAAATGATGAAATAATTGAGTAATTAAAAGTTCGAATAAAATAAAATATGCATACATATATGCATATTAAGGATGTTTGTTAGACGTATGATTTTCATTGAGGCAATACAACTTCCGAAGATGGTCTTATTGGCTCCTGTTGCTTGATTTATACTCAGTTGGGTTTGCAATTTCATAATGTTCCTTGGTATGCTAATCTGAATGAAGACTAAAGAGTTGGGAAAGACCTATCGGAAAAAAAATGTGGCGTATGCTGGGTAAGGCCAATATTTTTATATGGTGTAGCAGTATGTAGTCTTGCAATCGTAGAAAAAAATATACATTTACATTACTGGCTACATTCAAAGGACGATGTTGATATGTATACATTAGTGATACCCTTAGGACCACTACAAATGAAGCTCTAAGCATAACCTTTGACATTCTGCCTACAAAGAGAGCAGCACATCAGGTAACATCACTATAGGCTCTTTGATTAAGGGGACAAAAACTCTGGAGCACTCAACCATCAGAACACTCAAGTGTCCTGGATATGTATACCCTTCTAACATTTTTAGCGTTTCTACTTTGGATTACAGCTAAAACTTCACGACGCTGATTTTAGGGAGGGAACAATAGGCAAACAAATATTATACTCCGGCCGGGAGTATTGATGTTTATGAAAATGGTTTAAAATGTGATAGCAGAGTGGAGGGAAGGGTTAGGTATGCCACGTAAGCCTTCAACGGAACTCTTAGCTTAACTACTAGACCGGAACAGGCCGATGTTTCTGTTAGCGTCAAAGCTGTCAAACACAGCTCAAGAATAAACATTTGCATTTTATTTATTTTTTTTTATGACAGCCCGGTAACAAAAAAAGGTATGAGCCTCATCTTGGCTTACTCTAGAATCGTTCTGGGCTGAACAGAAGAGACTATTCCTCACTGGGGTTCTTGGTCGCAGGCCGCTTTAGGGTGGGAACAAAAATTGATTTGCCACATTACGTCGCAAGTCTGGCCGAAAAGGGTCCGGAGAGAGTCGTTCATATTTTCTTATAAAAGTAACCATTTCAAAAGGTAAAAATTCTGGCCTTGCTATCAGAAGATGCTGTAGAAGCTGCGGGAATGAGTCGGAGGGGGTATATTTCTGACATGAAATAAAATTCAACATCCGTTTGGAAGCTGCTTCAAACCTCAAATTAGGTTTCTTCTACTCAAAACATTATTTCTTCTTTTCACTCACCTATCGATTGATTTATAGCATCAGTACTGTATTTTAATAGCGCTGTGCTCGAGTTCAGCAATGTGGTCGGACCTTGTGAATGAGGTCTCACCTTAGTGGGGGATGTTGTCACTGTGACACCACCGGAAGTGACCTGCGTTGAAGGAATACCCCATTTATTATGTCCAGTAATGATGACATTATTACTTAAGGGTGGCACAGGTGTTACGTAACCCGGACTGCTTGGTGTGGTTGGCGTTTTCGGCATAGCTCCCGCTCCTGCACCCACTGTTGTTGTACTGGCGCCAGTGCCCGTTTGAACAACCACATTCCCGCTAGACTGTGAGTTGTTGGCATTATTTGAACTCGAGCCACCATTCTGATTGATATGCTGTGACGAACTGAGACGTGTCATGCTCTTGTGCAGGCCACCAACCGAACCGCCTGCAACATTAAGACGTGTCATGCTGCGATGTGTATTGCCGGTAGGATGTAGCCGTCCCGTACTACGTGAATCACCGAGTTTAACGCGTCGAGTATAGCCGGCATGTGGTGGTGTAGGGGGCACAAGTGTAGGTGGACCACCACCACCACCACCACCAACACCAGTCATGGCTGCATTATTACTGTGGTGTATAACAGTTGTGTTTGTGTTGACAACCGTGGGCTGCGCTGTTGCTGTGAGAAGAAGAAAAGTTATTAATAAAATATTTATGTACATACATATAGAAATCAAAAAGTCTACTTGAAACTTACAAATTTTCAGATTACCGCTAAGTAAGGCCTTCCGGCTACCGTCTTTAGGGCTGCTCGGACTGCTGCGACTTTTGTTTTTGTTCTTGTGCATACGACCTGTAGTGGCCGTAGCTGCGGCCACCGAAACAGTGGTAGGGCATGTTACTGGGTCGGCAGTGATCGGTATCGAGGTGGCTGAGGCGTTGGGCAAGTTATTATTATGATTATTGGCGATTGCTGCTGTGTTGAGCACCGTGGCGACCACGGCGGCAGCGGCTGTTGGTGTAGGCGGCGGCGGATCAGTTGAGCTATTCAAATTCACAATCGTTACACCGCCGGAAGTCTTATTGCTCACATCAATATTGATGTCGGTTGTGGAAAGTTTTTGTTGGCTGCAATGCATAAATTAAGAAATCTTCGAAAAAAATTTAATTCCGCTTATATATTACCTCAACGCATTCTTCTGTCGTACACAGGCAAGCACCTTATCGGTGAACAACACGGGAAATGAGGAGCATAGTTTCGTGGCTTCCTGCAGTAAATTCGTCTGTGATGTGCGATCGGCATGTGGCAGGTGTTCCAAAACGAAATCCAGTGCGTACTGCGCGTGCACCTTTCAGGTTTCAAGGATAATCGAAAAATAACCATTAATTCGTTTCTGAGTTCTACCACCTCCTGTCATCCTCTAACTTACTTTGTTCGTACGACCGGCCGAGGCGAGTATCTGCCCCGCCAGCGAAATCGTATTCGGATTGGCTTTGCTGGCCGCTTTGATTTTATCACAATGCTCAACTATCAATAGCGGACGCTGCTCGGAGATCTTCAGCAAAATCTGCATTGTTATTGTGGCAGTTTCGTTGTCGTACAACAATTCACAAAGCCGTGGTACACAACTCTCCAATACCTAGATATCGTATGGGGCAGTGATGATATTTTGTTATTAAAGATTGTGAGCGTAAAGAATTTACTAGCCATGCACTCTTTTTCACTCACCAAAGGTGTCTTTTGCGCGATCAGCAGGTATAATTGTAGCACCGCCAATTTCTCCTGTGAGTCACATTGTGGCAGCAGCGCGACCAGTATGGGCGCATGCGGCGACACTTCGTCTGGCGATACTTCGTAGATTTGAGAGAGCACCCGCAATAAACCGAAATTACCTGAGGGCGAAGTAAAGAGTAAATTGGTGTAAGTTGAAGATATGGAGTTATTTAAAATAGAAGATATGTATTTACCACCCATTATGGAGTCCATAATTGAAGACACATGTGGACTCAACAAGTAAGCGTAATCGATGGCTGCCAGAGAAAGGTAACTTGCCAAATTTCGGGATAATTCCCGATTGCCTTTCGGCAGAAATTGTACCGCAACGGGCAATGAGATTTTCATCAGCTCCTTTTTATCATAATTCTGAAAATGACCACAAGAAGAAAAATGAAATAAGTGATACAAAATAAATAATGAATTCATTTATTTTCGTATTGGTTAAAAACAAGTTTTTGGTTGGGAAAATGTTTTGTATAGAATAACTTGAGATCGAGTTGTATTCCTTTTGGTGAGAGAGAGAGGAAAGATATATATAGCGAGAGAGGGAGAGAGTGGAAAGAGACAAGAGAGAGAGTGGAAAGAGAGGGAGAGAGAAGAATGGAAAGAGAGAGAGAGAGAGAGAGAGAGAGGAAAGAGTGAGAAAGAGGAAAGAGAGAGAGAGTGGAAAGAGAGAGAGAGTGGAAAGAGAGAGAGAGTGGAAAGATAGAGAGAGTGGAAAGAGTGGGAGAGAGATGAAAGAGAGAGAGAGAGAGGGGAAAGAGGGAGGAAAGAGCTAGAGAGAGAGAGAGAGGGGAAAGAGGGAGGAAAGAGAGAGAGAGAGAGAGGGGAAAGAGGGAGAAAAGAGAGAGAGATAGAGAGGAAAGAGAGAGAGAGGGAAAGGAAAGAGAGAAAGAGAGAGAAAGAGAGAGAAAGAGAGAGAAAGAGAGAGAAAGAGAGAGAAAGTGATAGGAAGAGAGGAAAGAGAGAGAGGAAGAGGAAAGAGAGAGAGAGACAGAGAGAGGAAAGATAGAAAGAGAGAGGAACAAAATAAGCTAACTGGAGTTTTTGGCACCTTAAAGTCAGCCCTGATCCTGGTAAACATCTCCGCATGCAATCATGAACATTTTTGATCTTTAAAATTAGTAAAAGTATGGTATGAGGATAACCCGGATCAATCATGATCAAATCGGGTTAACCATCTCTGTACTAGTTATCTATCAAATCACCGATCATCATATCAAACATAAATAGAATGAAACACATTTAATAGCAGCTCAGATGAAACCTTTACTACTTTCCACTGTCAGAAGAACCTTGCTTTAAAACATCGTAACAATTTAGATAAATTTTTCATCTGAAAGTTTATTTACTTACCAAAAATATGCTAGAAATAATATCAGCAGCAATTTTCGCATGTGGTGGATCCTCTTTTGCCGAACCAGCCGGTTGGAGGTTCCATAACAGACATGTCTTTAATAAATCGACCAAAGCGGCGCAATAACGTTCGGCAGTCTTCGTCTCACGTATACAAGAGAGCACACGCGTAACGCATATTTCCACCACCGACTGATCATTATTATTCTTGAGGTAGTCCGGAAGTGAAATGATCAGGCTAATATCGGAGAGCTGAGTCATAGAATAAAGGCGAAATTAAAAGATCTGTGACTAGTGCAAGCACATACAACTTACCACTTCGCTGATATCGTTGACGATTTCCGAATCTGGCACCGAGAATAAATCGCCAGCACGGGATAGATCACGTTTAGAGAGTACCTTCGTGAACAGTTCATGCATTTTACGTTTATAATTATTTTATTTCAAGTCTCTATTTATATATGTATGTATCTACTTATGTTAAAAGTCTGCAAATTTCAAAATGTCTTTTTGTTTGCTTGTTTCAATGTTGTTTCAATGAACGCAATACAATATCGAAAACAATAAACGCTTTGCTTTCATGTACGGCGCTTCTTTCACACTTGGCAAACGTTCTCCTCAACCATGCGAAAATCCTATTTATGTCATTCAAACGTACGTATGTGTATGTGAGTATACGTAAATTCATTTATCGGTCTCTGGTTAGATCAGCCTATACATTGTTGGGCAGCGATCACCGAAACGGCGACGAGCACATTTGGCACTCTCTAATCGCCTCTGCGACGGTACTGTAACGAAACGAAAAGAAAGCAGTTCGAAATAAATTTTGCGAAAAATTCCACTTAAAATACTATTTTTAGTTCATGCAGACAACCGAAAATAGTACACAATGGTCGGCTGATAGAAATTGGAGTTTGCAGTAATTAAAACCGTTTGGCGCTCGTCGTCTTATTTACTGACGCTGCCCTCTTTCACGAACTCCACACGACTTCACAACACATCACATCACAGCACTGCACCGATTTCCGTTCGTGGTAGGTAGGGAAGAGCTTACGTATATTTGTGTCATTATTTTGTTTTATTTAACCTGGAAGCGTTTAGAATTTTACCGTTCTTCCGCCACGGCACAATTGCGATTGGAAAGTGTTTCTGTGGGAGCAGCGTTGAGCAATTAACTAACTTCTCTGCTCATTTGCAAGTTCACCCTTAACTGCTGGCGCACTGACGCGTCGCAGTTGCTGCACAATCTTGACACATTCCGGCACTTGCTGGAATTAGGTACGAAGTGGGCGCTTATGAATGAGTAAATAAGTTGCACTTTTTCTTTAACTAACTTTATTTTAAATTTTTTTTTCCTTTGTATTTTCACATTTTCATTCATTTTCTACTTTCCACTTTGTTGTTATTTGCTGTGTTTGCAGTTTATTGGTTCAAGTAATGAAATTCTTTCGCACATAATGTTTCCTACCAACGGTAATGGGGATTCCCTATAGCTGGTACACGCTAAAAAGTTAATTAATTTGTAGAAACATTACATATTTGCCTCTGATTGTGATTGCCTTCGTGAGCTGAGAAGTGTGCGATAAGATGCGGAGATCTGTTTTTCTCTGCGTCTAGAGTGTGAATGAATGAATGAAATGAAATAGAGACTCTTTCAGAACTCTTTTCTGTTCTGATTTTGGAATGAATAAATTAATTTTATTTTTTTCAGTTTTCTTACAACGTGAGTTTCAATTTTGTTAATTTGTAATTAATTTTAATTTCTTTACTGTCATTTAATGTTTTTTCCAACTAATTTAGTGACTCTCAGTTTATTCTAAGCCGCCTGAGAACGGCTTTTCGGATTTTCTCCAACTAAGCCAATCTAAGCCAATTTCGCCTATATTTCGTATCGTCCTTCTACCGATTGCGGTACTGGCCGTTGCCAATGCAAAAAGGAACATAAATCTTATGCGTCATCGGATTTTGACATCGTCCTCTCTTCTGTACCATATAGTAGAACGGATATTATGAGTGACTTGTTGAGTTTTGTCTATGTTCGTCGAGAGAGAACTTTTCTTTTATTTAATTGCTTACTCAGTCCAAAAAGGCACCTGTTCGCTAGAGTGACTCGGCCCCCTTGAGGGAGGGAGTTCAAGAATTTACCCACGGTAAAGCATGTCTGTCGTAAGAGGCGACTAAAATCCAATAGTCCTCGCGACAGTTGGGTCTTTATACCGGAATGACCCGGATTTTTATCCAGCCAAGGACTGTCACTCCGCAATATTCCCAAGAATAATTTTGGGAAATAATTTTGCGGTTACAAAAACAACAACAAGAGTGATTCTGGGTTGATTATGCTGGTTCACAGATCTACGAAATTTTCAACAACTTCAAGGCTATAGCGGTCAAAGTGGCGAAGGAGCAAATATGTAAGTGTGCTGCGCTGACTGTTTGGCTGATACCTGAAGTTTTGTTCCCCTTCACTACCAGACCCCGATGCTGATGGCAATATCATTGTAATACGCCAGCGGTTTTACGCTCTTATAGAAGATTGTACCTCCTCTATGACTCTTCTGTTATAATCTCCTCCAGTGTTAAGTTAAAGAAGCTGCATGATAAAAACTCAGCTATCTGAAATCTCGTTAAAAATCGAACGGCTCTGAAGTGCTACTTTGGTAAGTTTTGCAGTGTTGCCAAATAGAGCTCGATAAATGCCCTGTATGCGATAAAAAGGAGGCTTCTTTTATGACAATTAACGCGTAGTCTGCTTCAAATTATTGTGGTTTGATCAGACCACACATACAATCGTCACCCAAGGCATTTTGCAAAGATAATGACGCCTGCACCATATTTGAATAGTTCAACTGATCGTCCTCCGCCCCTTTTTTTGTTCCTCAGGCGGGCAATCGCTATTTAAACTTAATCAAAGTCGATAAGGACACGTCTGTCCCATCGTAATATATTGAAGTTTGGGGTTCGCAATCTTCTAGGTTTCGCTTTCACTGTCTTTTAGCAGGCTGGATGAGTGTTCCCTACTTAAATTCGATATACTCTGGCGATTGGAGTCCCTTTGTATGTCGTCGAATTTTTTCATTGAATTTTCAAGCATTACCACTATCGGCCGAACTTCTCAAGTTCTACAAACTCACGCCGCACAGCCTCTTGCTCTTACTTCGACTTACTTCCCTGTCTAGTTATCTTTCCAAGCTACGGTCGGGCGCTGGATAGGTAATCTCTTTTTCTATACTGTCGTACGAAAATTTTGTCGGTATCAGCTCTTTTTGTGACTTCGTTGAAAATCAACCATTTCATTTGCAGCCTCTATGAATAAGAGTTTCACATAATGTTAAGGGATAAAGACAGAAGACATATCAATTGTGCTCAATAATTTCTCTCACTGCACAAAATCTATCTTAGATTTGCAAAATGCTTTACTGGATTAACTAAGAGTTAACAGTGGATTGAAATACCTTAAAGCGAATACTTGGTATACGAGTATATATGTAAGTTTGTAACTGTGACAAACGGATAAGCTAGAAATGGGGATGAGGAAGGTAAAAGGTAAGCAAAATAGGAATTTCAAAGTTATTCAGGTAAAATGAAATAGGTAAGTATATAATTTGTAAGCTCAATGCCAAGTTATAAAATATCAAGGTATTAAGAGCCTACAATATACGACAGGTAAATAAAAGTAAAAAAAACACTTAGTGCAAGTAAAGTACATATTTTTTTCGAAAGAGTCTTCAAGCTGTAAGTACAGTTAGTTAATAAGGTTGTTCGATCACGGAACTCTGATCAAGAGAACTTATGCCTACTGGCTTCTTGTGGAATTTATATTAGGCCTGTGAAGGAGATTCCTCTCACTCTTCCAGTTGCTCCATCCCTTAGTGGGTTTTATGGAGTCCCGAGGATTGTTGATGTCTTTAGATGTTAGCTCTGCAAGGCAATCGAAATAGAAAAGAAAAGCGATAAAAAGCCGCAATGAGAGCTGGGCAATAGCAGAGTTAATTTTCTGCAGATGCCTTCTGATCTATGTTCGGTTATTGCGCCGGTTGTTATGCTTATGGAGTTCCTGTTTAGAAGAAACAAATCCTTAGTTCTGTTCACTTCGAACAATGTCCAGATTCCTTGCTGGTGCTTTTACTCTGGTGAAGTCTAGTCTTAACAGATACTTTGGAAAGAGATATAACCATAATCAATAATTCGTAATGAAATTCTCTACCTACCAAGAAGAAAATGCAAATGAAAATCACGTGATCTGTTTAAACGGAGAATCGAACCATGAATCAGCTACTGAGACACTCGGTAATATTAGAAAGACATACTTGCACTCCTAGTTTCCAAGTTTCACAGATCGATGCGGTCCAATTTTATTTACCGAAAATTTCATCAGAACACGAATCACCAATAGAGAAGAATGGAGAAATAATTTCCACACGCCTTGTGACAATTTGACTTTAACTAATGCACTGCACGACGAGAAGCATTGTATGTAAACATCGAGCCGGCCGTGTTAAGGTGAGAACTTGACCGATATGGGACTATAATAGACCACGAGAGATGTGGGTAGAGAGGTAGCCTTATAACCTCGGCCCTATTATAATGTACTTTCGTAAGACCTTAACATCCTGCTGTCAAATTTCATCTTTGCGCTTGAGCCAATTGGAATTTTCAATGAAGCTACTTATATGTATCTGATATCCTGTTTGTAAATAGCCATTCCATGTTAGGCTCCTGATGGATTCCAAAAGTTCTATGGTGGTAGTATAGCGAGTAACCTCTCCTGGAAGCAAATATTGTAATCCAGCCTTGGAAAGATATAGTCTAATTTAAATAGAGGCATTGGGAGCTGTGGTGCCGGCGGTCACAATAAAACACTTGCGTACTAACATTCGGATGACAGATTTCGAGGACTGATCTGACTACATCCAAAATTATAGATAACAATGTTTCTAATAGCTCAATCCTCGGTAGGAAATTTTAAGCTCTCTGAATGTATTTGTGATATGAATTGCCGGTAAAACATCAAGACGCACACTACAAATTGAAGGAGGGATATTGTGAGGCGGCTAAATATATTTTTGTGCTTAACCTTACTCTTTAAGCCTGATTCCGTAAGAATATGTCACGTTATTGCTCCTGTAGCCGCGTTGGTTGTCAGAAGAAAGTAACCTACTTCGGTGCCACTTCTATCCCTGAGGTATCTGCCGAGATGAATTTGGAACAAATAAATGCTTTTATATTTTTATTTATGAAGATGGTTGCCTTTGGTTAACATCCATTATGTTTGCACAAGGCTTTGTAGTAACTGCGGTTCCCTGGAAATTTTCTATGTTAACCCAGCTCTCCTTGATATGACTGATATCGATGCCCCTCTCGTTAAGAGTTGCTAGATAACCTGTAGCACTTTTAAAATACTGAATATTAATCTGCCCCCATCTGAGATTTCTGGTTACAGCTTTGATCTTTTATATCCACCTCAGTAAGTGGCTCGTGCTCGTCAATCTCTTCCTTTCCTTTATCAACAGCCTTGTCACCTTCGAATATTTTCATCCTGACATTACGGATAGCTTTGATCTTTGATATCCACCTTCCTCAGTAACTGGCTCGGGCTCGTCGATCTCTTCCGTGCTCCTTTGTCAAGAGCCTTGTTACCTTCGATCTCATCCGAGCTCCTTTGTCAACTTTGTCAGACTTTGACCTGCTTGATTAATTTGACTAGAATTTCGCTCTAAAAAAAAGGGGACATATCAAAGGCTTTGCTAAAATGCTGTAGGAGCTGCAAGGACAGTGCAACTGACAGCAA